ACTGGCTGAAATCGGTATTGCATGTCCAAAATTAACATTCTTTTTGTAATAGCTTTGTCCAGCAGTGAGACAGAGACATCAAAACAGTGTCATTAAGTAGAGGAGGACAGGGGACAACTTTCACAACCTATACTTTTACCCCTACTGCTCTATTTTCACCCCTACTGGCTGAAATCGGTATTGCATGTCCAAAATTAACATTCTTTTTGTAATAGCTTTGTCCAGCAGTGAGACAGAGACATCAAACCAGTGTCATTCAGTAGAGGAGGACAGGGGACAACTTTCACAACCTCTATTTTTACCCATACTGCTCTATTTTCACCCCTACTGGCTGAAATCGGTATTGCATGTCCAAAATTAACATTCTTTTTGTAATAGCTTTGTCCAGCAGTGAGACAGAGACATCAAACCAGTGTCATTCAGTAGAGGAGGACAGGGGACAACTTTCACAACCTATACTTTTACCTATACTGCTCTATTATTATCCCTACTGGCAGAATTCGGTATTGCATGTTAAAAATTAACATTCTTTTTGTAATAGCTTTGTCCAGCAGTGACACAAAGAAATCAAACCAGTGTCATTCAGTAAAGGAGGACAGGGGACAACTTTCACAACCTCTATTTTATCCCTACTGCTCTATTTTCACCCCTACTGGCGGAAATTGGTATTGCATGTACAAAATAAACATTCTTTTTGTCCAAAATAAACATTCTTTTTGTAATAGCTTTGTCCAGCATTGAGACAGAGACATCAAACCAGTGTCATTAAGTAGAGGAGGACAGGGGACAACTTTCACAACCTCAAATTTTACCCCTACTGCCCTATTTTCACCCCTACTGGCTGAAATCGGTATTGCATGTCCAAAATTAACATTCTTTTTGTAATAGCTTTGTCCAGCAGTGAGACAGAGACATCAAAACAGTGCCATTAAGTAGAGGAGGACAGGGGACAACTTTCACAACCTATACTTTTACCTATACTGCTCTATTATTATCCCTACTGGCAGAATTCGGTATTGCATGTTAAAAATTAACATTCTTTTTGTAATAGCTTTGTCCGACAGCAAGACAGAGACATCAAACCAGTGTCATTCAGTAGAGGAGGACAGGGGACAACTTTCACAACCTCTATTTTTACCCCTACTGGCTGAAATCGGTATTGCATGTCCAAAATTAACATTCTTTTTGTAATAGCTTTGTCCAGCAGTGAGACAGAGACATCAAACCAGTGTCATTCATTAGAGGAGGACAGGGGACAACTTTCACAACCTCTATTTTTACCCCTACTGCTCTATTTTCACCCCTACTGGCTGAAATCGGTATTGCATGTCCAAAATTAAAGGTGTTCTAAGCGATATCGGTTGGCGTAACCTCTTGTTGATGTTTGAATTATTATCAAACAAACAGAGGCTAGCTAGACCCTCCCTCCTCCTCATCCACGCAATAACCCCCTAGACCACACCCCACATCATTCTTGTCGGTTATTGGCTGGGACAGTTTGTTATGTTTCGTGCTTCGGGTCGCTCTGTTTATTGCTCAGTTTGTTTTTGCTGCCGTTTGTGGAGCCTGGGGAGTCTGCAGAGACCGCGTTCTTTTACAGTGTGTTCAGGGGACAGGCAGCTAGCGGATAGTGAGGAGATGTTGGTGATATGTGAAAAAAAATGTTTTGGCCTAAAAAACGCGTGACATCGCTTAGAGCACCTTTAACATTCTTTTTGTAATAGCTTTGTCCAGCAGTGACACAAAGAAATCAAACCAGTGTCATTCAGTAGAGGAGGACAGGGGACAACTTTCACAACCTCTACTTTTACCTATACTGCTCTATTTTCACTCCTACTGGTGGAAATCGGTATTGCATGTCCAAAATTAACATTCTTTTTGTAATAGCTTTGTCCAGCAGTGAGACAGAGACATCAAACCAGTGTCATTCAATAGAGGAGGACAGGGGACAACTTTCACAACCTCAAATTTTACCCCTACTTCGCTATTTTCACCCCTATAGGCTGAAATAGGTATTGCATGTCCATAATTGACATTCCTTTTGTAATAGCTTTGTCCAGCAGTGAGACAGAGACATCAAACCAGTGTCATTCAGTAGAGGAGGACAGGGGACAACTTTCACAACCTATATTTTTACCCCTACTGGGGAGAAATCGGTATTGCATGTCGAAAAATAACATTCTTTTTGTAATAGCTTTGTCCATGAGTTAGACAGAGACATCAAACCAGTGTCATTAAGTAGAAGAGGACAGGGGACAACTTTTACAACCTCTATTTTTACCCCTACTGCTCTACTTTCACCCCTACTGGCGGAAATCGGTATTGCATGTCCAAAAATAACATTCTTTTTGTAATAGCTGTGTCCATGAGTTAGACAGAGACATCAAACCAGTGTCATTAAGTAGAGGAGGACAGGGGACAACTTTCACAACCTCTATTTTTACCCCTACTGCTCTATTTTCACCCCTACATGCGGAAATAGGTATTGCATGTCCATAATTGACATTCCTTTTGTAATAGCTTTGTCCATGAGTTAGACAGAGACATCAAACCAGTGTCATTAAGTAGAAGAGGACAGGGGACAACTTTCACAACCTCTATTTTTACCCCTACTGCTCTATTTTCACCCCTACATGCGGAAATAGGTATTGCATGTCCATAATTGACATTCCTTTTGTAATAGCTTTGTCCATGAGTAAGACAGAGACATCAAACCAGTGTCATTAAGTAGAAGAGGACAGGGGACAACTTTCACAACCTCTATTTTTACCCATACTGCTCTATTGTTATCCCTACTGGCATAATTCGGTATTGCATGTTAAAAATTAACACTTTTTTTGTAATAGCTTTGTCCAGCAGTGAGACAGAGACATCAAACGAGTGTCATTCAGTAGAGGAGGACAGGGGACAACTTTCACAACCTCTATTTTTACCCCTACTACTCTATTTTCACCCCTACTGGGGAGAAATCGGTATTGCATGTCCATAATTGACATTCCTTTTGTAATAGCTTTGTCCAGCAGTGACACAGAGACATCAAACCAGTGTCATTCAGTAGAGGAGGACAGGGGACAACTTTCACAACCTCCATTTTTACCCTTACTGCTCTACTTTCACCCCTGCTGGCGGAAATCGGTAATGCATGTCCAAAAATAACATTATTGTTGTAATAGCTTTGTCCAGCAGTGAGACAGAGACATCAAACGAGTGTCATTCAGTAGAGGAGGACAGGGGACAACTTTCACAACCTCTATTTTTAACCCTACTGCTCTACTTTCACCCCTGCTGGCGGAAATCGGTAATGCATGTCCAAAAATAACATTATTGTTGTAATAGCTTTGTCCAGCAGTGAGACAGAGACATCAAACCAGTGTCATTAAGTAGAAGAGGACAGGGGACAACTTTCACAACCTCTATTTTTACCCCTACTGCTCTGTTGTTACCCCTACTGGCGGAAATCGGTATTGCATGTCCAAATTTAACATTCTTTTTGTAATAGCTTTGTCCAGCAGTGAGACAGAGACATCAAACGAGTGTCATTCAGTAGAGGAGGACAGGGGACAACTTTCACAACCTCTATTTTTACCCCTACTGCTCTACTTTCACCCCTGCTGGTGGAAATCGGTAATGCATGTCCAAAAATAACATTATTGTTGTAATAGCTTTGTCCAGCAGTGAGACAGAGACATCAAACCAGTGTCATTCAGTAGAGGAGGACAGGGGACAACTTTCACAACCTCTACTTTTACCCATACTGCTCTACTTTCACCACTACTGGCGGAAATCGGTATTGCATGTCCAAAATTACAGTTTTTTTCGATTGCTAAACGACAGTGAGCACAACTGGAGCTACATGTGCAAAACTCTAACTCCAGTCTGCACAGCAGCAGTTCATGTGGACCAAACTCTAGTTCGTTTTTCATTGCTTGAACACAGTTTTCAAAACTCTACACACTTATCCCATGACTTTAACCACAACCTGCACAACACTGTGGATTTACAGCACTTTGTTCAAATGCTAAAACACTGCTGTCAAAACTGTGAACCACACATTCAAAACAGAATAGATTTCTGCCTTGTGCCTTTCAAACACTGCTGATTGCAATTTCAGCTGAAAGGCTGGAAACCTGTGGCCTGATGCTAGAGAGAGGCAGGATTAGCCCCTCAATTATTTGTTCGAATTACAGTATGTACTTTTAGTTTCTACCTTTTTTTCTCATTACTGTATTTCTGTAAATTACTACAGACTATTGAAGCAAACTGCTAATTTTCATTTACCTTAAAGAATTATGTTCTAAAAATTTAAATAAATCACCTGAAAGAATGTCACTCTTTTCTTTGAAGAAAATATAACTTTGTATGAAGTCACTGAAATTGTTCAAATTGTAAAGATGAAAAGTTTGTATTTTCTGTATTGGTGTTTGATGCTAGTGTTTTTCCTCTCAGTGTGTTCTGAGTGACAGTGTGTGTTATCTCAGTGAGGGTTGTGCATAGTGTTTGTCTGCATGAGCCTGTTTTGAGCCATGTGTTAAGAGTTGTGTTGCTTGGAATGAGTTTTGCAGGTGATGTGAACTGTTTAGCTCAGGTGACTGTTGGTAGTGCAGACTGTAGTTATAGTTTTGCACACGTAGCTCCAGTTGTGCTCACTGTCGTTTAACAATCGAAAAAAACTGTAACATTCTTTTTGTGATAGCTTTGTCCAACAGCAAGACAGAGACATCAAACCTGTGTCATTTTACAGGAAAGCTGCTTTAAACAGTTAAAAAAAATTAAAAGTGTTGTATACATAACGGTTACTTGACTTGATATTAAACTAAAAATTATATATATATATATATATATATATATATATACTGTTATATTTAAAAGTCAGAGATTTCACCCAAAAAAAGTTCAGGACAACAGCCATGTTGACAGAACTCGTGTTTATGCAAATTGGAGAAGACTGAACAAAATGATCAAATAACATTAAACATAAAAAATAAAATAAAAAAACATAAAAGAGTAAACAATTTTTTGTACATGTACAATTTCAACCGTTTTGGTATTTTTTATCTACAGAATGCACACAACCACATAACATTCTTAAATTTTGGAATGGCTCTTTTAGGAATGTTGACACAGACAGAGTGATACCACCTTTCGCATGTGCTGCACTGAATCTGGTGAGGGAAAATTGTGACAATTAAACTTTGTATACTTTTATATTAAATCAAACATTAATTTACAAATAAACTTTAATTTAAAAAAATCTTGCGACATGAATAATAAAGTAATATTATTTTCAACTTGAAAACTTCTAATTAAATAGAAATCAAATATACAGTACAATAATGAAACTATTTTATCTTTATTTACATACAGTTTTTCACAGCTTTGGTGCATTTCTCAGATCAGAAATTAAATTCTCAAAACTACTTGTTCAACCTCCACATACTCTATTCACTTGTTCATTTTATAAAACTAGTTTCTCATTCTTTCTCATTAAGTTGTTAATGCTTTGGTACAGTCTTGATATTGATTATGTACAATTGTCTGCGGCTTCCAACATTATTTATCAGTTGCTAATGCCATGTTCCTTAAAATGTATTAAATATTTATCCGTGCAATATCTTACACCTCAAAACATCAAGTCATTAGTTAATTGTATAAGTAATTAAATGCAAAATGGTTGATCTAGAAGTTGTCATAAGTATATTTTCTACACATTTCTATTATACTTTTTGTAAATGTGCCATGAATTGATGAATTGTGCAGGTGAATCTTGACTTTCACTGCTGAAGATAATGTAGATCAACCAATGATAAACCATTTCTCTGAAATAGCTCAAATTTGAACCTTCAATACATACTTCAACCCTCAAGTATATACACACGTGCTGTTGGATGCAAAAGAAAATTTCAGCCTGAAATTGGTCTTTCCTGTGTTTTCCATGATAATGTTCTGTTTTTGCCTTTGGGTGTATTCTCTATATCACAATAATATTGTAATTATTATTATTATTTTTTTTGCCTGACCAATTCTAAAAATGTCACTTTGAATCATATCCAGTCTCTTTCAATCAATAACTTGCATACCGTGGTGTGTAGATTTGTACTGTCTTATCCGTAGCCAATGGGACAAGGACTTGTCTAATGGCACTGACATGGTCATTGACACAGATATTTACTTTTGAGAGATGAACTAAGGAATATGAGCAAGAGACTGGCTTTTGGCTAATCCATCGTGTTTTTCTATTTGTACGAATTGTTTTGAGAAATGCACTTATTATTTTACAAATGTAGAGGATGATTCGAGAAATGTATCAAAGCGAAAGATAAAAACTGTCTAGAAAAGTACTACAGTAAATTTGCTACAAAGTTATTTCAAAGTTAACTGCATACTAATTACATAATTATCTGGATACTAATTATTTAAGTAATTTAAATAATTTTACACTTTGAGATGCATTTCTAATAGATTTAATAAAAAATGTAATAATAAAATGTACTTAGAAACAGATACAAACCCATGTATTCCGACCCACAAGTCCAACAGGAGAATCTTGTCCACAAAAGGAGCAATGATCTTTGGGGTTGAAAACTGTAAACACATTTTTTGCAAATCAGTGCTCTATTTGAACTGTTTAACTGACAGATAGACAGTTAATTCATGGTTTATATATTAACTTTAAACATTATAAATTTATTACTATAGTATATACAAATAGTGAATTCTTCATTCCTTTTCAGGGTAGAAATCTAATTATTTTAATTAGGTCATATATAAAGACTAAGATATTGTTTGAAGATATTATAGGAACCGATACAAATTTAAACTTTATGTTTTCATTACCATTGTAAAGCCAACATAATAATACGAATCAAACTCGCTGCTCAAAAATGACTATAGATCAGTTTGTGGGAGCCTTGGCTTTTCATGCCCATGTGTAGTATAGAGCACTTACACTGAAGGATCAGTGCAATATTCTCCTTAATGGTGTGCTTACAATACATACCTGATGCTTCTAAGATTGTTCCAGCCACCCCCTTACGTAGCTTGGAAAGGAGACGCATACGGGAAGGTATCATTATTTCAGATGGTGTCACTGGAAATGCCTCCACCACCTCCTTAGCCATCTGTTTGGTAACATAAAAAGCATAAAATAAAATTTCAAAATACATTAGCCATAGCATAATAAGAAATTTAAAAATTACACTGTCGAGGTAATGTAAAATTTTGTCTTGTTTCAAGGTTTCAAAAATTTTACCTGCATGACATAAACTCCACAGCTGCCATCTTGCTGTATGCTGTGGTTCAAGACACCATGTGTCCATGTCACATCCACCCAGTCGGTCTTACCATAAAGTTCCTGCCGCATTTTGAAGAATTCTCTAAATGCGTATGAGAATTGTATTATTGAATTTGTAACCAGGTATCATTTCACTAAACTGTCACCAAAGCTGATAATAACAGTACTTGATAATGTACTGTGTGTTCATAAAAAAAGAGAAATATTATAATACAATACCTGAATCTTTCAGCAGCAAGTTTAGATTCTTCTTCTTCATCTATCCCTTGGGGATCCACCACAAAGACTTTCTTCAATTTCTTATCAAGATACTGTAAAAACATTTTGTTTGGTTAGTTTAACAGTTAGTTAGTTTGTCTATGTATGTAAGTAATTAACTATGATTTGGAAATGGTTTTACACACCAGAAATTTCCAGTGGTTTTTATGCACTTGCATGAAGCCAATCATGGCATCATATTTGTCAAAGTTGACCTGTAAAGCAGATGAAATATTATTAAACTTGTCTTTCTGACCTTTTATTTTTGCACTAAATAACAACTGTAAAGACTAACCTTTCGAAAACTGTGCCTTGGCAATTCAGACCTCTCCCCAAACACAATCACACCGGCAGAGTAGTGGTTCAATAAAAACAAATGTCTTCCATTTGGTTGTGAATTCAACAGTGCTTGGATGTAACTTTCAATAATCTGCAATTATTAAATAAAATGAAATGTATTAATCCATGTAATCCCAACGGTCACAATAGTGACCGTAAAAAAAAGGTTTCATTTCTAAAGCTATAGAAAATGTTACTGAATAATCTATCAATGCATTTCCAGCAGATATTGAAATATTAAAGGGTCTCAATGAAATATGTGCAGTGTCGCATGTTTACTGTAAATAGTCACATGACCAGAGCTGTTTATTTCCTGTTTGTGCCTTGACAAGAGGATTGCAGCAAGAAAGCTCCCAAAGAAAAGATTAGTAAAGTATGTTAACATAAAGATAGGACATAGTTATTTGGTACACGTCATGTTCAAGGTGTCTAGTATTGATATATGCATTTGCAATTACTCAACTTTGTTTAATGTGTTCACAGAACTCACAAACATGTCAACAGCAACAATAGTGACTGGTGGGATAACACATTGTATCTAAATGCCAATACACAATACCTAACTTTATACGTAATTTTACATACAGATACATACACAGAAACATACACTCACACTCGCACATCACACACACCACGCACGCCACACACTCCACACACCCCACACACGCGCACAACACACCCCACACGCACACCCAACGCCACACCATGCACACCCCACACGCACGCACACCGCACACGGACACCGCAACACCCCACACGCACGCACACCCAACACCCCACAACCTACATGCACACGCACGCACACACCGCAACACACCCCACACGCACATCACACACAGTCAAATCACACACTACACACCCCACACGCACGCACAGACACATACACACACGCACATGCACACACACACAAACACACACACACAAACACTGCACTGTCAAATAGACCTATATTCAGTCTGTCCAATGGTTGATACAACACAGTATCCCACCGGTCACAATTGTGACCGATCATAAAACTCACTTTTTCACACACGTTTCCATGAAAAGTAAAAAAAAAATTTGATTGATTGTTTCAAAGGGATACTAATGACACATGATTTGGATATTTGTGTGTCTGTGAAAAAATTGGGATTAAATGGGTTGACCCTAAAATGTATTATAACAAATAAACTCATATTTGTCAATGTCTTTATTCATTAGCCTACCAATAGTGATAGTGAAAGTTCATGCACATTATAGTTACTGTTTAACATTTTATAAACATGAATATATAAATCCACACTCCAGCAGTACAAATATTTAAATGCATCCTGAAATGTTTGTTACAGTTTTTCTGAATTGCTAAAACACTAAACCCCTCTGAACCAAATTCTCAAGAGGCTAAAAAAATAATTGTCGAATAAATCACTCTTTCTGTAAAACATTAAACAAAGTTCAGGTGTTTAAAACACTGTTTGCAAATCTCGACTCAAAATTGTTCACACTTATTTCTAATGATGTGACCAAACCAACTGTACATAATACAAGTCAGTTCAGAGTCCCACAATTGACTCAAAATGTTGCACTGAATGGTGATACCAACAATGGATGGAAACAATATAAGAGGGAGAGAAGGAAGAGTATGTGTGTAAGAGGTGGTGAACAAGGAGGAAGTGGATGAGGAAGAGCAGGTGTGGAGAATGTTGTCAGTGCTGACTCTGCTTTAGGGTTTTTCCCTTTACCTCAGAGATGACAGTGTGTGTGATGAGGAGAAACTCCTCCGGCCGGACCAACATGAAGACATTATGCTGAAGCAGAATCAATCTCTCTCACTGACTGTGATTCTGCAGTCTTCTGAGTGTACTTTACTGTAACATGCTTTTCATTGAGAGTTTTTTACTGTAAACTTTTTGGCTGTTGTAGTCGGGTCGCTGTATTTTCACGGTATGCAAGTGGTGAATACTGTATACAGACATTTGACAGGCCTACTATTCAATATTCAGTGCAATACTATACTTGCAGTGGATACAGTATACAATTTATTCACCTTATTACTGTATTGTCATTATACTTTTTTACGTAATTGCAAAATTTGTTTACTTAGTTACAATATACTTTTTTCTGTAACTGCATGCTTTGAAGTCTGTCTTCTCCATTTTTTGATGTTGTGTCTAATGAATGATCTGTAGTGTTTATAATTTTGACTTGCCGTGTGTATGATCTGAGAGCATGGTGTGATTTTGAGCACAGGTAAAATGGTTTTGAGGCAATTGTTCGATTTTGCCAAAAGTGTCAGAGGTTCTGTGAATTTTGGTGTGAAAGTGTGGTTTTGTGTTTAAGGTTTTGAGAAAGTGAGTGATGGGTTCAAGAAATGTGTTTTAGCAATTCAGAAAAACTGTAAAATAGACCATTTTGTCATTTAATGGTGTTTAATGTAAATCCTTATTTATGTAACTAGAGTATATCAATGTTTGTTATTGTAGACATATGTTTACCTCCCCTTTCAACCAGTTGTGTGGTTTCAGGCTTTTAAATTCTGTCAGACGGAGTGTATACGAGACATCCTTGTCAACTGATTGAATTACTGCAACCACGACTTCGCTGTCTCTTGAATTCCAAAAAGCCTATAAAAATTAGATTGGAGAGAAAAACAATCAAGATTCACTGCACACCAATAAATTCCTTTGTGCTGGTTTTACTTTGTGTCCATTTTCATGAACATATACAGGATAGACAGTTAACTTTATAAAGACAAGTACAAAGCTGAATTAAATGTATTTGTATATACTTATACAGACAAGAATTGATACATATTTTTATATTTTTTTTATGCAGAAATGTAATCAAGTTGTTTTGCGTTAAACGGTGAATGTTTCAAACAAACACATCAACGGTGTCGAGCGGAAGTAATAACAGTTACAGGGAACATAGACATGGATTTTAAGTTGACAACTCAACTTAAAAGTAACTACATTCTCATGTTAGTGGAATTAATCCTTAACAGAAGTACATTCACACATACAAATAATATAACATGCACATTTTTTTTTTTTTTTACCTGTATAATGTCCTCATTACGTACATGGCCTGTGGCCTCAGTGACAATGTCCGTTTGAGCTTTTGATGTCTATGATGAGAATACAGAAGACATCAACATTTGCATGTTGTTGTGAAAAACTTTAATAATGTTAGGGTATTTATACACTTTAAAAAGTAGTCGTGGCCTTGAATTTGCCTTAAATTGACATCGTCTTACCTGGGAAGGGTCAGACACGGCTCTGACACTGTCAGTCGTCTTTACTTTCGACTTTGGCCGTCCGACAGGATTTTTAGATGTCTATAATGAGAAAACAGAAGATATCAATATTTGCATGTTGTTGTGAAAAACTTTAATAATGTTAGGGTAATTATACACTTTAAAAAGTAGTCGTGGCCTTGAATTTGCCTTAAATTGACATCGTCTTACCTGGGAAGGGTCAGACACAGCTCTGACACTGTCAGTCGTCTTTACTTTCAACTTTGGCCGTCCGACAGGATTTTTAGATGTCTATAATGAGAAAACAGAAGATATCAATATTTGCAGGTTGTTGTGAAAAACTTTAACAATGTTAGGGTATTTATACACTTTAAAAAGTAGTCGTGGCCTTGAATTTGCCTTAAATTGACATCGTCTTACCTGGGAAGGGTCAGACACGGCTCTGACATTGTCAGTCGTCTTTACTTTCGACTTTGGCCGTCCAACAGGATTTTTAGATGTCTATAATGAGAAAACAGAAGATATCAATATTTGCAGGTTGTTGTGAAAAACTTTAATAATGTTCGGGTAATTATACACTTTAAAAAGTTGTCGTGGCCTTGAATTTGCCTTAAATTGACATCGTCTTACCTGGGAAGGGTCAGACACGGCTCTGACACTGTCAGTCGTCTTTACTTTCGACTTTGGCCGTCCGACAGGATTTTTAGATGTCTATAATGAGAAAACAGAAGACATCAACATTTGCATGTTGTTGTGAAAAACTTTAATAATGTTAGGGTAATTATACACTTTAAAAAGTTGTCGTGGCCTTGAATTTGCCTTAAATTGACATCGTCTTACCTGGGAAGGGTCAGACACGGCTCTGACATTGTCAGTCGTCTTTACTTTCGACTTTGGCCGTCCGACAGGATTTTTAGATGTCTATAATGAGAAAACAGAAGATATCAATATTTGCAGGTTGTTATGAAAAACTTTAATAATGTTAGGGTAAT